GAGAACAACATTTCTGAATTTCATGTCTTCTGTTCGAAAGGAAAACCAGGAGCAAATAGCCATAGGAGTATAATTATAACTTCCCCGAGTAAGAGTGACCTCTCCCAATAGCATTTTATAGGTATAAGGGTAATTAAGTTAGATCATATGGTTAAGAGGGTTTTATCAATTAAAAGAAAAAAAGAAAAAAATTCATAAAATTTATGATCATGTTATAATAATGATGATGATGACGACAAGATATAGAGAAATTGACAAGGATGAGTCAGAGGATTAGTTGAGCTAATTCACCGACCAATATTTGGACAAAGTGTGCTCCTTTTAGCAAAAGGATATCATATATTATATACTATATTTTTCTACAGTATAAAAGAAATTCATAAATAAAGATCATGAAAATGGGAACCACCTTTCTTCGGCCCTAGCTCCCTCTTTCACTGCAATTTTTCGCTACTTTTTTTTTTTCTTTCTACTCTCGCGGGGGATTCGAGATGATGACAATCACAGACTCACACAGACTTAGGAGTAGTAGTAATAATATATTTAAAAGAAAAGAAAAGAAAAAAAAAAGGAAGCAGGGAGCGTGTGGTCAGGTCAGCATTTTCTGCTTAAAATTCAAGTGCTTTCAGCTCCACTGATGACACATGGTCCTCCCATTCTGATTCATTTTCATTACGTACTTAACAGTTTCCGTGATGTTGACTATCCACTTAATCTCTGCCTGTTTTACTCTTTTGAAGCATAATTCCAAAGCTTTTTAACTTTTTAAGCACAGACTTTTTCAACCCCTGCGAGAATTCCTCAGCCAATTGAAATGCCTTTATGTTGCCAATAAGAAGATTCAACAGGAAATGGGGGAATCGTTTTAACCCTTGCATAAGATTGATCTATATATGATGGCTTAGTTATTAGTGTTGAGAAATTTTATGACTAGTATTATTACAAAGAGACGAAATTGGTTCTTCAAAATATTTTTTCTTTAGAACTAGAGTGTTGAAATTATAAGATTTTTTGGTTAGGTCATTCAAAGTTTGAAACTTTTGGTCATGTGATTTAATTGAATTTGGGCGTAGACTTTTAGATGCATGAACCCGTGTGAATGGTGATAATTTTTTTTAAAGTAAATCAATGCTTGGATTGGTAATTTTAAATAATTTCTTTCAACTCTTTTTTTTCCTTTTAGTATGCCATTGCAGTGTCTAAATTAATTGAAAATCTTCATTTTGCAAAGTTAGAGAACAAACTATTTTGACATAATGTTTAAAATTTTTTTGAATTATTCAAAAAAATTTAAATAAATCATTATTATTTTATTGTATTCAATTAAACTATTATATATTTATTTTAAATCAAATAAACTCTTATGACTAATAATGGACTATTTGTCATTAATCAAAATATCACTTGTTATTTTATACGCACATGACATTGATATGGAGGTTGAAAAATATCACATAATTATATCATTATGTCAAATTAACATGTTAAATCGTCATCAATTATAATATATCAATATGTTACCTCATCATCAATTATAACATGTCAACGTGACATGTTAGAGACATGTGGTAAAAAAAGATAAGTGATATTTTAACTAAGTCAACTATTAATTATAATAGTTTATTTGATTTAAAATAAAAATATAAGGGTTTTATTGAATGTAATAAAAAATAACTTTTTTGAATTTTTTTAAAATAGTTTAGAAACTTTTTTAGATATTATGTCAACTATTTTTTCATAAAAAAAATTACACGTATCTGAACTTAAGCTTAATCTTGTGCAATCATAAACTTTAAAAATAGAATTTAAGTAAACCTTAAAACTAATAAAAACGAAAGCTAAAAAGAGGAAGAAAAGAGAAAGATACTTGGAGAAATGAAAACATGATATGAGATTCTTATAAGAGATATAAGAGTCGAGGTAGATCCAGATTATTTTAATAATCTATTTTCTCTATGAGTAAAGAGTCAATGCCACGAAGATGTTGTATAATTAAATAAGATAAAATATCACAAATCTTATATTAGTAAGAGATGGGTAAATTTTGAATATATAAATATAATTTTTTTATTTATTAAGTATATTTTTTAGATAAAAAACGTAGAGGCTAGTGATGAACTAAGGTTTTGTAACACATTGTTTGACCAAATTTCTTGACGGCCGAGAATAGTTAGATGAAAATTAATACCATTTTGCTCCCAAGCAAAAATAAACAAATTAAAAAAGAAAAAATACGAGAAAGGAAAATAATTGCCGCACATATGTCCCATTGACCTCTTTAAGTCACTGTTTTGACCTCACCCTCGGGGGAAAAATTTTGAATAAAGTATTTAATATTACATTTATCTTTTCCAAGACCGCCCCTCCACCGCATGCTCATTTTTTTTTTTCTCTAATGTCATGAAGATTGACCTAACTCTTCATGTAGGCACCAAACTTTACCTAGATTTTTGTTCTTTCCCAATTCCCACCACATTCATTAACAGCTACGTCTGCCCTCTTCTTCCTTGGAAAAGAAGTAATTCGAGCAAATCAAGGATAAATCCTTCAACTGATCTTATATGGCCTGATTAAGATTTTGGTTTATTATATTAACCTGCTGCGCGCAGCAAATAAGCTTTAGAAAATGTGGAAGAGTGGTTGAAAAGTGAAAAGGTGAGAAGCCTTTTTTGCAAGCTTTTAGGCCACCCAACCCCAATTCCAATTGAGCGTAGAAGACGAAGATTCTCTACAAACTAAACAACGTAGAAAACAGAACCAAAGGTTTTCTTCTTCTTATCCTCCATGTTTGAAATTTCCAACTCAAAACATACATGCCACGACACATTGAGTTTCCTTTCCTTTATTTTAACGCATAGCCAAACTGACTTTGATCATGCTGTTCCACACTGTTTTACTGCCAAATTTTTATTGTACCATTAAAGCTGGATACCAAAAGTGAGGGGGAAAAATATATTGTACTTTATTAAAGCACTGCACCAGAGACGTTAAAAGGGAAAGAAGAAAGAAGTAAGGGGGGAATGGAAATTGAATACGTGAAGCCAACAAACAAATCTATCAGACTTTCACATATATATGTGTAGAAAATCAACATTGTTGTAACATGGGGCCAGCTCCCTTCTGCTCACCCTTATATCTGCATATATTTTTTCTGATACACTCATCTTTACAATCTGGCATATGCATGTAACTCAGTTTTACCTGTTGGTAATATGTTTCATGTGTATATATATTATATTATATTGTGATAACAAAATGCGCGTAAATTTGTGGGTCCTGAATCTCTTTTCGGGCCTCATCCTTCTCGTTTCCTGTAAACAAATCTGTTCTTTGGGCCAGGCTTTCACGGATTTCCTATGAATAAAAGTAAAAGAGATAGAATGCTTCAATGTAACTTGAAAGAGTGAAAGACCCAAGTATTGTCAAGGTCCAATGAGGGGTGATCAACTGGACTTAACTGAAGACAGCTGAAAAACAGAACAGAAACAAATCAATTGCGACTGAACAAGGCCACCATGCAGCCCATTGGCTCTGGCTGAGTCCAGTTTCCCGATTGTTTGCACTCCCTCTGCCTTGGTTTTCATAGATTTTTAATGCCGAAAAATGAAATGGATTCAACAACTATCAATTTCCAGAACATTGAGCACACATTTTGGTTCTGAGTGGAAAAGAAATAGCTAATCATTCGTATATATGTTTGCAATCTGTTAAAGAAAACTACGACAAAAGTTAAAACCTAGTTATGTACTCTGCCTACTACTAATACATAAGATATTCGCATGCCAGTAGCTTTGTACCAATTCTTCCTTGAAAAATTCATAATCCAACCAACATAAAGAATGTCCAAGTGTGAACTCAGAATGATTTTTTGCATAATCTGGGAAATTAATTAGTTCAGATAGGTCGAGGATATTAAGTGTTTTGATAAAATAAATATATATCACATCTCATTCTAGGTCCATTAAAGTTTTCAATCAAAATTTGATTAATCGCTTCATTAGAACCCCACCAAGTATGAACACTGATACCGTGGAGGAGGGTATAAAATATTCTTAAAGTCCAATTTAAACATGTGAAAGCAAGGATGGAACTCAACTGATGAATGGAAGTGAAGAAGACCCACCCACCCCCATCACTTGATCAGAAACCATAGGAGTGCATGAACATGCAGCCAAGTGAGGATGCTGAAACAGTAACTGAGAGCGACAGTCTGACTGGGAAATGTGAACATCGAATCTTCAAGAATCAATTTTTGTGCCCGATAAGTTGAGTTACCAGCCACTTGTCACCCCAATACTTTTTCCAAAATCCCATCAAATTACACTTCACGTGCCCACAGAACCATAAGAGGATCGACACGTTCTGATTTAAAATACCCCATGAATTCCGAATTCAGATAGATTATTACTAGCGAAAGGGTCACAAAAGTCGACGTCCGTTTTGACTGTGAACAAGTGTGGCGTCTACCGATTGGTTCTATATGCAAAGCCTGCTTTACCCCTGGCTTTGTCCTGACGCTACGATCCAAAGTTGCCATTGTCAAAAGAATTACTTTAGACATAAAACGTGGCTTTCCCGCATTGTACGACGATGAAGTTGTTCCTAAACGAAATGACTTTCCTGAATAACACCTTTCAATGACTTAGAAGATGGGAATGGGTAGCAGTGTACATATTCATATTCCTAAGTCATATACCCAACAAATGAATTTGATATGATTGATTTCCATGTCCAATAGGTTGAGATGAGAATACGGGTTTTGGCCTGCGAAATTTATGTATCATCATACCATCATCCGAATTGGGACAATGAAAAGAACGTTTGCTCCATCCCTGAAAGAAATATTAGGGAAACCCAGATCCCAAATCACAGAATAGACCCAAGCAGGTCCCATAACCAATCATGTTGCGACATTATACATTCCAGGACGATTTTAAAACAAATAAATGGCCATGTCGGTTTGAGAGAAAAACCCACACGAGGCTGTCCAACAGGTGTACCAATAGAGCAGCAGCAGTACAGTTGGTATTTTCCCCATCAAAACCGGCTTTAGCCCACCCCTCGGATACCCTCGCCACTTATCCCAGTCCCACCATATTTATTTACATTAAGCTCTCCATCCCCTTTTACTTCACGCTCCACTCTGCAAAACAGATACTGCCACCATGTTGGCAAGGAAGGAGCAGCCCCAAGCGGCAGCGACGGTGAAGGTGGAAGTTGGTTTATCAGGTTTGGATCTGCACGTCCACCCTATTACAAATATTAAACCCAGAGGCAAGAACAAGAGAAGATTCAGTGATGAACAAATTAGGTCACTAGAATTCATGTTTGAGTCAGACTCAAGACCAGAGTCGCAGATAAAACAGCAGCTGGCTAATGAGCTTGGACTACAGCCTCGACAGATTGCTATCTGGTTCCAGAATAGGAGAGCTAGATCAAAATCTAAGCAAATTGAGCGAAATTACAACATTTTGAAAGAGAGTTATGATGCTCTTGCTTCTAGCTACGAATCGTTGAAAAGAGAGAATCAATCATTGCGTATCCAGGTATTTTCCCTTGTCATTCACGATACATGTTGGAACACTTTTGATTGCCGTTTCTAACTTCTAAACCTATTGGTTCTCAACAGTTGCAAAAACTGAAGAGTCAACTTGAGATGGAACACGGAAACAAAACCCATGAACCAAACAGAACTGGAAACAGTGGCGATGGCAATTCCGAGAACAAGAGTGCTATATGCGACGCTAACGAGAAGATTACCTTTCTGTTTGAAGGCTATGACCACATGATTTCAAGCGATAACAATAGCAGAGATGCTGAGAGCAGGGATGAGGATAGAGTGGCTCTGGATATGATGGAAGCCACAGATGGTTCTTGGACTTCATCAGAAAAATGGTGCGGCTTCGAATCCAATTGTTTCCTTGATGAATCAAGTTGTAGTTCAAATTGGTGGGAATATTGGTAAACTTGAATGCGAAATTAACATCTGCAGCGCTTGCACCATAGTACACTGACTGACTTGCGTCAGAAATTTCAATCCTGTTTGCATATATTTTTCTATCAGCGTGTAACTACATCCATGACGCATGCATCTCCGGTTCTTTTACTTTTTCCTCCGTTTTTTGTTTTTTGGTTCGGAGCACTTCCAGTTTTTAAACCTATACTTCCTTACACTGTCTAGGTAGTAACTGAATTCAAAATACACATTAATGAAAAAGAAAAAGGTAACAAGGAGTTCAACAAGGCAGAGACCTAACTGAGAAAAGTTTCTAATACTTGGATTCTTCAAACATTCAAGACGATCACAGTTGCATGATATGAGCATGACAAGAGTCAAGGCCACAAGCTGGACATCATGGTAGTACGTTTTTATGTCCATGAGCAGGATCACAAAGTCAGTGACAGTAGTTTTCCAAAAAATGTACAGCACCGTAGGATTCCCGTCTAGTCATATATACTCATTTAATCGTATAAAAAATGCAAACGGGATGATAAAAGATTATAGTACCAATGACGCAAACAAGGGGACTATATTCGGGCAGAATGAGCTTATGAAAAAATAGGCAATATAGTAAGACTGTGCCCCTTGACTAAAACATGAAGGTAAATCAATTACCAGTCCTTTTAAAATTATGAGCAAGAAGCCTCACAACAGCAGGCCTCCAATATGTCTAAACTAATATCTGTCTAATAACTGCACAACAAAAGTACTGACGCAAATGTACAATTTTGCCTTTCCAAGCTTCCAAATACTAAGAATAACTGCAAGAATATTTTCCACCTATAACTAGAATAACTGCCAGAATATTCCCTGCTTTTAATTTGTCCAGCATAGAGTTTTATTGTCAGTCTCCAAATAAATGGCGACAATTCAGCTTCAATCTGTAAAATAAAGCATATGATGAAGTTTGGCTTTATTTGAGGGAAAGAATGAGAAACAGTACAATAATTTTTGCTTCATTAGTCATGAAGAGAATGCTCATATGCTCCCATCATTAATATCAGAAAGTGTACTACAAATTGCTGCATTCTTAATACTGCTAATTGTCACATTCTTAATACAAGCAGGAAATGCTGTTACATCAGAATGTATTAACCAAATCTTGTACATACATAAAACTATATCAATGAAAAAAGGGTTAAAAACCTCCAAATCATCATCGATATGGGCATCTAAAGCTCAGTTTTGACCTTTACATCTCCATTTGGTAACATACTTTGTGATTGAGCAAGCCGTTTACATTCCTGCATTGGGCCAAGTGCTTTAAGCTAACAGTAACCAAATAAAATAACTTAGTAAAGACTGATAAAGTAAGAATTTCAATTTCCATGAAACTGCATGAAAGTACCCATAAACTTAACAAACTAATCAATTTGAGTTATCCATGGTTTAGTATCAAGTGAACTCAGTTACACCTATGACTCGTTGAGACATACACACCTAAAAAATATTGGATTCCAACAATTCATCGCTAAAGTATTTCACATCCGTCTAAGCATTAGCAATTGAAATGTGCGCTTAATGCTTCTTAACACTATAAGATATGCAGTTCAGATATCATAACACATGTTCTTAAGCCTTTTTCCCAATTAAATAAATAAACAGGTACATGCTTGATTCCACTTTCATCAACTACCAAACAGAGATTTGTATGCAAATGCAAGAAAAACATGACACAAATGTGAAGAAAAGTCTGAATAGGCAAATAATTGTTTAGGAGTGCCTTCTTTTTAGTGCCTTACCCAGCCTAAGAGATTGTGCTCTCTCCATGAGAATAACTTGAAGACAGAAGCCAAAAGACACACTAGATAAGGAGAAAATAAGCCTGAGTATTTTCAACAACCGGACAAGACAAGATCCATCTAAAGATGAAATCAGAGAGGAGGATAACAAGAGGTTGCAGGGAGAATGAACAAGTGATGATGGGTCAGAAAGATTTGCCAAGAGGCCATGAATAAGGAGGTTTCACACTTAAGAATCAAAATCAAGAATTAATCACTACAACATGAATAGAAGACATATTCATATTCAAAGTCAGCTTAATTTGACTTACAGCAGCAGAACTTGCACGTATCTCCCTGTATGATTCAACTTCGTCAGGAAACGTCTGCTCAAGCTCTTCCAGAAGATGCTTTCGTAAACTCTATAAAATTCACGAGTAGATAAAATTCACGAGTAGAGTAAACAAATATATACTAGGGCTGAATAAAATGAAATTAGAATAAGATATCCCATAGCTGAAGATAAAGACTACCTTGAAGGCATCAGTTTTGCCTTTAGTAACCTGATTTTTTGCAATACAGCTGTTTAAAACATCCCTTGTAAATTCATCAGGGTTCTTCCCATCATCAATCAAACTGCATGAAAACACAACAAATTAAAAGTGGGCAGTGAAGAAAACAAGCTTGAATGTACCCGAAAACATACACACGGACAAAAAGAAAAAGGGAAACCCACTTGAGAACTTCCATAGGCACTTGAATATTACACTTCTCAGACAATTTTGCCATGTTATCAAGCTCCGAAACCAAGGAATTCCTACAACAACAAAAAGCAAACCCCAATGAGATAAGCAATGCTGCAAACACTAACTAAAATCTTATAAAAACAAGAACGCGAAAAATATATGGGATTTGAAGAAAAATTACAAGCGTTGAAGGAGGGGGAGCTGCGAAGCAGCATTAAAAGAAGAGACGGTGAGGTATAGTTGATGGAGAAGGCCTAAAGTTTTCTGGATGGAGTTAATTACTTGAGTCAGATTCTGCTTTGGATCATCATTCGGCGTGGCGGTTGCCGTATCATTTGTTTGACTGCTGACCATCCCATTCCCGCCGCTCCCTCCCGTCCCTAACGAAGATGATTGTGATGAATCCATTTATACAGACTAGTTATTTTTCCTTCTCTATTACAATTCACTGTAACAATCAAATAGGTAAATAAGATGGAAAGTTTTTAAACCCTAAAAAACAGAGAAGAGGAAATTGAAACCGTGCAAAAACCCTAAAATCTACTGCAAATACTAAGAATTGGCAGCTTTGAGAGAGACTTCGAAGGAATTGAAATACCTGGTTTTGGAGGAACTGGCAATGGAATATCAGGAGCTCCAATTTGCCTCTTTTTTCTTCTCTCGTTTTCTTCCTCGGTTCGAGTTGCCTAGTCCTTGTTTTCGGTTTGAGTTTTTGGGCTTCAGTTCAGACTCCGGGAACTCTGGATTCACGTCGGACAGGCCCAATTCAACGGCCCAGGTAGAAGAAAGTTTCAAGACTAATTTAAAATGAATGAAAATCGGGCCGAATTATTAGGGGGAAGGGATAATTGACTATAGAGCGAATCAGTGTGCAATTAAGAGAGTGAAATCAACCTGCTTCCAAGCCCACCTTAAAGTGAACCGAGAGAGAGCCCAGCTTTCTCCTTACCTACTTATCCTATTGAAAGAGAAATGTGATTCTTCTTCTTTTTTTTTTTTTTTCCATATATAATTTTCCAAACAGGACTGTCATTCAATCTGCAAGGCCAAGCTAATAAAATCTTGCTACAACAAAGATGCCCCCCTAATGCATGTAAGTGAGGGAGAGAACCTGGCATTAATGGCTATAGAAAGGGACAGAAATCAATTGTGCCATTTGGGGCCTATCCCCCCTAGACATTTTCTTTCTCATCAACATCTTCTTTTTCTAAACTGCTGGCGCGATATCGGGTTCGGAACAACACGAAGAATGTTGAGCCAATTAATCAGGGGTATCATAAAAGTTGTAACACTTTTAAAGCTAACTTATAGGAATTAACAGAAATAAGTTAAAATGATGTGAACCCATAGCGAACCTACTCATCAATTTGTTCACAGGTCAATTTTGAAACAATTTTTGCCTGTTAAAGCTATGGCTGAATAAAACACCTTTAGTTTTACCAGCTGTACAGTTCCTTGCTGATAAAAACACAAAAAAAAAAAAAAAAATAGGCCCCCCAGTAAAGTTGGTTGGTAATCCGGGCCACAAGACTAGCAAAGAATGGATTCTAATATTCTGCTTCATTCAAGAACATATGCTTCATCACGTGCACTTTATTAGATTCATATATTCAGAACCATTTTATTAGCTGATCTCACTGTCAAGCCTTTATCCAACTTGCAATTAAGTTTTTTGCAAGGTCCTAATCAACTTGTGGTATATATATATATATATATATATAGAGCTCAGAATAATAAAGCAAAGTGCGAGCTTTAGATGCAATGTGCATTCTGCATCAAAAAAAAAAGACCTTGATGAAAGGAAGGGCCAGCTGTTTGCTTTAGCAGATGTGAGATTGGCTGGAAATATTATATGCAAAGCACACAAAGCAGAGAGGGGAACCAATCCATCAAATAATATGCTGAGGGGATCATGTATTGCTTTTTAATCCAGGGGCCCCTCCCTGGTTTTATGTGTACAGCTCAATCCCTCCTCTTTTTTCTCCAACAAATGACAGTTGAAGATGTCAATATCATTACCTACTCGCCAAACATGCTGAGTTATTTGTTAAGGATAGAACCTCTGCTAATTGAGCTAATCATACAGAACATCATACGTATCTACATATAATAAGAATTTAATGGAGAAAACACACACACGCACACAAAGTCACAATTTAAGAAAACTCGCTCCTAGCTTTAGATTCCCAGGCTGACCTTCCTCGCAGGTAAACTTTCTCAGTCAAGAAAAACAACGTCCCTGGATTTCTCTTGTATCCACCTGTATCTTTAGTTGGAGTTAGTAGTACATGCACAGCAACATGGGGCCAGGCTGGTTGGTAGATGGAATCGATTCCATCCTTTTGGTCAGGTATTGAGTTTGGGATACATTTGATGCTTAAACAGAATGGTTCTAGGTACTAAAGGTTTACCCACTCACCTTTTGCTTTTGGTGAGTTCCTTGTCACTGAAAGGGAAAAAAAAATAGTTCCATGATGTCAATATAAGAGTAGCTGATGTCTTTCCCTTCAAATTTGTTGCTAAATTATCCTAAATGCGTCGCAGCCTTGTATCATAATTTCCAAGATGGTAAAAACCTTCGAAAACTTGATGTAGATATTTTGATTTTGATTAATATATATTTTTTAATGAATTATTACAAGTAAAATATTATTTTTTGTAAAACAATTAAAATAACTGAAGTATTACTTCACACAAAATAATTATAATAAGTGAAGCGTTACTTCACGTAAAACAATTAAAATAAATGAAACATTATTTTATATGAAATAATTAATATAAGTAGAATAATTACTTCATACAGAATAACAACTTCACATGGATGATAGTGAAATCAATCTAAAATAAGTGATAGGGTTCATATGTTACTTTTATCTTGAAATATGTTAAACAGTTTTCTTTTTAACTTTTTTCTGGAGTACAAGTGTTTCAACTTCTTACTTTGTTCTCGTATAATTGTTCACATATACTTTCTTTCCTTGTGCATGTTCATGTACAGCTACTTCAATTGTACTTATTTACGTACAACTTTTTCTATTGTTCTTTTTTAAGTATTCCTTTTTTCTGTTACCTTTTATTCGAAAATAATCTTATTACACTTAATTACTTCAATGATTGCATAATGGATTTTTAATCATTATTCGATATTAACTCTCAATAACTGTTACTTAACATTAAAACTTTTTTTAATAAAATCATTCATTACGTGTATTAAAGTTTTTTTCTTATAATTGTTATTTTGGGCACTATATATAGAGTATTTACAATTCATTAGAGGGCTTTTCATCCAAACTAATAGATGATCTTCCAGAGCTTCTTTCTTTAATTCTCTTCTACTCCTTAATTCTCTATTTATTATCTTCCACTTACCATAACATTCAGCATTTCAAAAACAGCTTAAATCTTTCTCTTCACCACCTTTTTGACATATCCTTTTACTTGTTTACAATACTTCCTCTCTCTACCACAAGAACCCTCTTTACATTTGATAATTAAAGCAACTGCAGACATACTAGAAGCTGTGTTAGTTTGTGAATGATTAAGACTTTCTCTTTTAATTATGAAAGGAAAATGCAAATTTAGACCATATGAATCATATGAATCTCTCAGCCGCCTACGGCACTCAATTGTGGCCTAGTCTCAGTCTTCCCATGATTGCAGATTGCAGAATATATTTTGGAACAAACTGGATCCACCCACCAAGCTTTCTAGCCAAGGGAAAATTAAAGCTGTTGCCTTTGACCTAGTACAGTGATATCTATAGCCATTTACCGCGGTCAAGTTCATCGAATTTCAAATCCGAATCAAGAAAGAGAACCAAGATCTGATTTGATCATACCTAAATCAACTTGGTTAATAATCATTAGTTTCCAGGATTTTCGACTGTGGCAACTTTAATGGTCCTTCAAATTAGTGATTTGCTGCCCTATTTGCTGAGAAGGAAAAGAGAGAACTGATATGCAATAGCAACTTGTATGTCACTAACCATTTAATATATCAAATTATAGAGAAAACTATGGAGATGGATGTTCTGTTCTGGATAGCAACCCTTTAAGCTTTCAAGTTGAACATAATTAAAGCACTAAACTATTCTTTATCTGGCATCAAATCTTTCCACAGGGAAAGAATAAAGCCTCGTTTCCTTCATGGTTATTTCATTACTAATTAGATATGCTTTTCAATACAGATAGTGCTTCTTTTCTGTGTTAATATAGTACTTCCAAACCAGTTATATACTTAATCAAAGTCTTAGATTTAGATTTACACCGTACATGTGGCACCCAACATTGTGAGTTGCAAATTAATATCTAATTGTAACAGTAAAAATCCAAAATTAGAAGGCCACCAATTTATCTAAATTCAGCCATAATTAAAATGCCTTCTGTGCACTTTGTAACGCATGATTTGTGAAAAGCATAATGAAGAATTAATGCTGTTGATGTATCAGCAATTTGAGCTAAGTGGAAGAGCTCTTCGGGCATCTTAAAAGGACAGAGATCATAGTACATATTTCCTACTAAACATTCAACGATTCATGGTTGAGTTAATTTAAACCTTCCATTGCTTTTCTTCTGTTGTAGAATGGAATCCAATCACCCCAAGCGCTTTTTGTTACTCAAGTGGGAAAGACTAATATAGTCCACTAATTTAGAACATTGACTCAGTCGATCAACTAATTGTAACATGTAAATGATGATTAAAATCCTGTTAATCAAGGACTATCTTTTTAATCAATAACCCTAGCTCCTTTAGCATCAAAATCTTCTCTGTTCTTGAGAGAATATGATTTGAATGTATTATGTAAAATGTTCTTTGCCCCATGTAGAACACTGAAGTAGCTCAAACAGAATCCAGGATATTGTTGAGTTGCTCAAAACTGAAGAACCATTTAGCAATATGTTATATATTTGATTCTCCCAAGTCACTCTCATATTATATAAATGTTAAAAGAGTTTGTGGCAATTGATATTTTTGAGATTCATAATTGCACCTCCCCATAAACAACTCTAGTATAGTAGTATTCTATAATAACCAACAGCTTATGAATTAAGGTTATTTATTTATGCTGGCATCTGCTATCGATGATTCTTTTGAATGAAGCACTTAATCTTATTCCAATTATGCTGCATACATCTCCACAGAAATGGATTTTCTTTTGTTATCCTTACTTCCCCTTTCAATTTTCTTCCACATTTTGGTCATAATTTACCTCTGCAACTTTCCTCATTGGGAAATATTGATACTAAATTCATATCCAGTGCTGCCACCTTGAAGGCCAGGATTTTGTCTGAGTTTCAAGCCTTTGATTGCTGCAAGGTGGCTGTTACAAGAAGATGGAAGGTGAAAATTGAAAAAAAGAAAAAAAAGCATTGGAAGATGGTTTTCTTTCTTGATTAATTGCCCTAAAGCCTAGAGGGCATGATCTAAGGCGCACTACTAGAGAAGTATAAAAGTTGAGGAACCATACCCACCTTTGGCTTTGGCCGTGGGATCAACTGCTTTAAGTGCAAGACACGTAGATAAGAGCTTCTAATGACATCATTTTATCAAATACTTTAGTTACACACCTAATGAACAATATTCTGAACTTGCAGTTTTGCAGCAAACTTTCAAGATGACTTTTTTCCATCTTTCTTGAACTTCTCCAGATGCATATATGAGAAAAAGGAAAGAGATCATGCTTTTGGATTGAGAAATGAGAAAAGGCAAGCGTAAATAAAATTATATTTCCTGAGATAGAAATCATCAAGTTCAAGGAGGAGTGCTATTTTCCTTTCCTAGAAAATTGGGAATGAGTTCAATCAAGTCAATCCTTTGCTATGGACAAAACCACAAGAACTCCATCGGCTTCTATAGGGTGATCATTCTAATTTATCTGCATTTGATTCCCATCAGAATCTAAACAAACAATGTGAAAGCAAAAGAGCAATTATTTAAAAATGTACTTGAGCGAAGAGAAAGAGTTTGACAAGCCCATGCATAGATGTAAACAAAATTTAAGCATTTCCATAAACAAAAAGAAAAAAAGGATCATTAGGGGGCATAATTAGCTTCCCCTATGCAACATTTTGTCTGTCTCGGATCATTAAAGGAAAACTAGGCAGTGTTAGTTAACAATTTTGTTTCAAAATGTGTAAAACCTCCCAATAATCAGCTTATATTTTGACCACCTGGGACCAACTGTCGGGAGTGGATTTTCAAGTGGGACCTACCTCGGGGAGAAATGACTAAGACTGGTCCTTGGATTATTATTTTGTGTTGTCCTATGTTTGAATATGACAACAATGTCCCTTGCTCTCTCAAGGGCACATGATTTAGACAAAACAATGGGAAAAGGGACGGTGGGTGCGTGGCTGGGTGTCCTAGAGCCTAAAGCCCTTTCATGGGACCGTAGACGCGTGGAGTCATGAACAGAAGCTTTGCCGCAGGGGAAAGGAAATTGAGGATGCATGGAACACGTGGCGTTCGGACACTCAGGGTCCACGTGGGCTTTGGCTACTCGCTGTACTGGGGCTAGTGCCTAAATCCATGCGAGATTCGTGGGTTCAACTGAGGGACACGATAGCAACGTCACCAGGCACGTGTTAACGTCAAGTAACTTTGTTGAGCTGCTTAAGATTTTCTTCAGTTGTAAAAGGCCCCTTAACATCAAAGATCTTTGTGGCTATTGATCTTCGGCCCACTCTCACTTTCAAGGGCGTGGTGATTAAATTCCTTGTTTTCTGTTTTTAAAAAAACTCATGAAAGGTTAAAATCAATCTCTTTAAATGAATATATATATATATATATTTAATTTCAAACCGATGCTTGAAAATGACTATCCGAATTATGGTTGAAGTTAGTTCTCACGAGAATAAATGAAAAAAATCCTTAAGAGAAGAGATGTTATGTTTTCACTTTAATTGAATATTACTTGAGTTTACTCTACTCAACTAAATCCTCTAAAACTTAACATACTACTACTGATTGTTACTAATGATATGTTAAACTGATTGATTCTGAATTCTGGTCATTCTGATTCTGTTCTTTATCAAATAAAAATTTGAGTGATGTGACTAAATGGTAAAAAAAACAAATCGTAATTTTAATGAAATTTTAATAACTCATTACTCATCATTCATGTCGATGTGGTAGTGTTGTGCTTATGCCATGATAAAAGAAAGAAACTACTAGTTAAAATTGGGCATACAATCAAGTGATATTTGACAAAATGTGGCCTGGAGGTGGAGGATCAGGACCACTAGCTGGCGGATGCCTAAATTCTGAGAGCGATGCGAAGGGAAGAGGCATTGATTTCTGATAGCTCTAGAATAAGATGGCAGCTTCCACAAATATTTGCTAGTTGGCTGGGCTATGGCCTATGTTGTTGCAAGAAAATCAACCACGCGAGCTAGAACGAACGTGGGGCATGGGGGCAATGGCCCCCTCCTAATCTCATTTTCCGTTATGCTAGTGGCGGCGCACACTGATATTTCGATTTTAACTTTCATTCATTTGTTTATTTCCGTTATAGTGCTGATAAACTCATAACGCCCCGCTTAACCGTTACTTCTAATAGTCCACAAAATCTCTATATAAGCAAACCTCCGATTTCATAGTTTAACCCAAAAAAGGAAACCCATAACTCTCCCAAATTAACAAACATCGCCCATTTTCCTTCTCCAATGGCAAAACACTCTGATTGCTTCTGGGTTTTGTTTCTTGCTTCCAAATGCGAAACTTTCTCCTCTCCAAACTCCATTTTACTTCCTCTTTTTATTTGCATGGCTTGGCTGGCCATGGCACTCTGCTTCTGGAACTGCCCTGGAGGCCCTGCCTGGGGTAAGTATTGGTTGCGCAAGAGAGCAGCATCCACAAAACCCAATAACATCATTCCAGGGCCGCGAGGGTTCCCGGTTCTTGGAAGCATGAACCTCATGGTTAACCTGGCTCACCGCAAGCTTTCTGCTGCAGCCAAGCCTTTTGGTGCTAAGCGGCTCATGGCTTTTAGCTTGGGTGACACACGGGTTATCATTACATGCAACCCTGATGTAGCCAAAGAGATTCTTAACAGTTCTGTTTTCGCTGATCGTCCAGTGAAAGAGTCAGCATATAGTTTAATGTTCAACAGAGCAATTGGTTTTGCTCCTTATGGAGTTTACTGGCGAACCCTAAGAAGAATTGCCGCAACACATCTCTTTTGTCCTAAACAAATCAGCTCCACCGAGGCACAGAGGTTGGATATCGCCTCCCAAATGGTGTCTATAATTGCATATCGTGGTGGAGAGTTCTCTGTACGTGATGTACTCAAGAAAGCTTCCCTTAACAACATGATGTGCTCAGTGTTTGGTATTAAATATCAACTGGGTTCATCAAATAGTGAAACTGAAGAACTCAGCCAGCTTGTTGAAGAAGGTTACGACCTACTAGGGAAGCTCAATTGGTCTGATCATCTTCCATGGCTTGCTGGTTTAGACCTTCAAAAAATCCGGCTTCGATGCTCCGAACTAGTTCCCAAGGTGAACAAGTTTGTGAACAAAATCATTCAAGAACATAAACACCAAACTGGGAAAAGAAACCATGATTTTGTGGACGTTTTACTTTCTCTGAATGGTCCTGATAGACTCTCAGACCACGATATGATTGCAGTTCTCTGGGTAAGTAACAATCTGATTGTCATGATAATTAATAAAGTAATCGTTAGCATTTATTATGATATGCATGTTTTTGGTTTCTCTTGCATGATGTTATCTAGCTGTGAAATAGTATGGGAAAGGAATCAAAGTTGGAATCCTGATAATGCTTTGGGATCAGTTTGTTGATTAGATTCCTATAATATATGCATTCCCCTTTGATTAAAAATTTAACCGCTTTTTTCTAATCATGCTATACTCATTACACAGGAGATGATATTTAGAGGAACGGATACTGTGGCGGTTTTAATAGAGTGGATACTTGCGAGAATGGTGCTTCACCCTGAAATCCAATCAAAAGTGCAGGCCGAGCTTGATCAAGTTGTTGGGAGATCACGGCCGTTGATGGAATCAGACATTCAATCGATGGTTTACCTGCCGGCGGTGGTGAAGGAGGTTCTCAGGCTGCACCCACCTGGCCCACTTCTATCATGGGCCCGTTTGGCAATCACAGACACTACTATTGATGGATATCACGTGCCCGCTGGGACCACAGCCATGGTTAACATGTGGGCCATCGCCAGGGACCCAGATGTTTGGGCGGACCCACTCAAGTTCATGCCAGACAGATTCGTGTCCAAGGACGGAGCCGACGTGGAGTTCTCTGTCTTGGGGTCTGACCTCAGGCTGGCGCCATTTGGGTCAGGCCGCAGGACTTGCCCCGGAAAGACTTTGGGTTTGGCGACTGTTAGCTTCTGGGTCGCCTCCTTATTGCGCGAGTTTGAGTGGATGCAATCAGATGATAATCCTGTTGATCTCACTGAAATGCTTAGGCTTTCCTGTGAAATGGCTAAGCCTCTGAAGGTCAAAGTGCACCCTAGGCGCAGATAAAAAGGAGAAAACAAGTGAGAACCGTTTGAAACGATAATCGTACAAGTTCTGAGTTGTTCAATCGCAACAAAAGCGATTACCCTTAATTAGCAACCTGTTAGATATGGTGGACCTAAAAATGTACATATAGCATGTGTTTCTCTCTATAAATGTCAATGCCCGGTTGTTGATCTTAACTTTCATTGCTATTGTAGATGACCAATTCTGATTTTTCAGGAAAATTACATTAGGGATGTTCCAAGTGTAAAAAAGCTTAGGGCATTCTCCTCTAAGGTGTTCTAAGTCAGGAGTATTTCAAGTTAAAAGTAGGTGTTTTAAGCATGAAAATGTTCAAGTATGTTCCAAATATAGAAGCGTCCAAAGACATTCCAAGTATAAAAACGGCTAGAAGTGTTTCAAGCGTAGAAGCGTCTAAAGGTGTTCCAAGTACAGAAGCGCCCAAGACGTTTCAAACGCAGAAGTGACTAAAGTGTTCCAAGCGCAAAAAGCGCTCAAGGGTAAAAGCACCCAAAGAACATTATAAGCATAGAAACACCCAGGAACAAGCATGGGGAAGTAAATGTAACTTAGAACAAATGGCAAAGTTTATGAGTTATCTTTATATTTGAAATGTTTTAGAAAGTTTGGTTTGGTGGCTTAAATATGGAGATAGTTAAAATGACTTCTTCTTAACTTTTTTTTGAAGTATATGTGCTTTACCTTTTTTTCTTTCTTTACTTTTTAAAAATACACGTGATGCACTATCAAATGCTACTATTTCATTTACTCAAAATTTACACCAATTACTTAACTACATTGTCATTCTTTTAATACCATATAAAATGTTCTTCAATCACCATTATATGATAAGCACGTTCTCTTATGATTAAACATACTCTCTTAACTACTCTTTAAGAAAGTACTCTTATTTAGTATAAATAATAAATTAAGAGGTAAGGAGAAGAGATTTTAGACACTCACAAAAAGATTATTCTGAAAACTCTCTCTAGATTCCTTCAAGCATTCTTTCTGTTCAGCATTTTTCCATTATCGTAATCCGTTGCTTTCTCCACCTTTTCTCATCCCTCGTCACTTACCACCCAAAGCACTTCCAAAACTGCTTCAATCTTTCTCTTTGCTACTTCTAGTGCATTCCAATTCACTCATTGCAACACATCTTCTCTCTCTAACCAAAAAAATCCTCTACAGCTATTATACGGACAATCTAACAATAAGCTAGAGCCACGGCAATGTGTAAATTACAACTATTTAACGGAAATATGGTTTTGATCTTTTGGGTTTTATTTCTTATTCCAAAAGCAGGAGCTTAGAAAATTCACCAGATTAAACCACTAATGGAATATTCATTCCTAAACAGACCGAATATCCACCACGGTGACAGCAAATGAGCACAACAGGGTTCCCCATGATTGGCTTCTGTTCACCTTAATCCAATCGAAAAAGGAGGACAAAATTTAAGCTCTGATTAATAACAGCAGGCCCAAAATGTTGCTCATCATGCTTTAATTTTATTGCCTAATTAATTTGCTTAATAGTAGTATATACGTTTCCTTAGCAGTGGGCCATGAAATTTGATGCAGACATCACAATTCACTATATAGTCATCTTGTTGCTATTCACGTTGCTGCATATATATACTTTTAATAAAACATAACAGCTCTCCTTTTACTGCACAAAAGTGTCCAAGACACCTTCTTTTTAAACCGTTCATGGAACTCCAAGGAGAAGCGAAAGTGGACAACATTGTGCATTTCAAGAAGCAAGCATGTGTATGACGACGAAATGTGCGTAAAAAAGGACTAATACTGTCTTTTGTCAGCTGTAGGCTGCCAATTATACTATATTGAAAAGCTAAATAGGTTAGGTGATGCAGCAGGAAGCTAAAATAGTGGAACATCTATTGTATGCTTATCTATCCCATTCAGCACAATAAAGATGAACAAGTGTGACAGATCAAGAAAGAATACAGGAAAAACGGACAATATTCCATTGCTATAAGCCAATATAACTCTTAGACTGAGGCGCTTAGCTATTATTTCATAGTTGTATCCAGATTTTCAAATATCAAATCTCGATTTTTATCGAAGACAAAGGGAGAGAGATTTATGAGAAGAAAGAAGACGGTACGTCTTACTGTGACTTAACTATTGAAGAAAAACTCCCCAGTAATCTGAGTTAGGCAAAATCTCAGAAGTGGGAAGTTAATTAACATGGTGGTATATATGGATTTTTATGTAGCAATTATTTTTGTATTTTTTACTATAATTTCTTTTTGGAACCATACTCTTGCTTAAACCATATCTTTTGAACTCGAATGAATTCACAGATATAGAACTACATGCAAAGGTGACAACTAACCAAAAGGAGTTTTGATTAGCTAATTATATTCAAATTCAGGTCCCGGTACTACAGGTTTTTTTGTTTTTTGTAAAGTGATTTTTATTGACCAAGTACTATAGGGTTGCATATATCTTTTTACATGATAGGCATGTTAATTTTAATTTATTTATCCATCTATTTATGGACATTCTGTCTATATCATGTATGCAAATAAAATGAATGAATTTTCTTTTCGAAAAGAAGAAAATGGCAGAGCGGGGAGCTGGAGACTGGAGGGGATATACGATTTCTGGTCTCCTTTTTCCTTTTTAGCTTAGGAAAAAAGAATGATAAAAAAGCACGATTTTGATGTTACTGACGAACAATTGCTATCATCTTTAGAAAACACAAGTACAGGGACGACCTTGCCTTTTTGTCTTTGTGAGTTTTTCCATTATCTAAACTTTGAGTTGAGGGCCATTTCCACAGCTCTTCCCCTTCGCTAGGGCTATCGCTTATGATGAGCAACTAGTCGATGGCACGTGAAATGCACATGGATCGAAAGACACTAATGGTACTTTCGTGAAAAGTACTTCACATTGAAACAACTTTTGTCTATTGCCCCGCCAGACATTGATTGTGATCTTCCCCGTCTGTTGCAATAATAGCCATCTTGCCAAGTCCTAATCCAAGCCTTATAAAACCCCAAGTTAGAAAAAGCAAGTCGTTCTTGTGTGCCTAAGCATAAAGAAAAATGTCCAATTCTCTGTTAAACCAATGTCTCTTGGCCTTGGCTCGGTGCATTCACGTCACTCTCACACGTCCTAATTTCATGCACCGGCCTAGCTGGATCAGCTGATAAAACAAATCAAATGTAAATCCAAAGCGTTTTTTGGCCATTTCAAATCCTGGAGTAGTACAACTATTTCTTGATTTCTGAATCTCTTGCGATTGGAAATGTTATGTTCATAATGACACATGCTCGTGTCTCTGCTTGGGCCATACATGAAAATCTTGATTGATTCGTTGTTATCCCCGGGACAGAGCAAGGTGTGGTTACTAAATGAGATCCTAGTACAGATGTATCAAACCATGATTACGGGGGGGATTGTCGTACAGATTTGCTAAAGTGATTATGTACCTAAAGAGACAGTGAGATACCCAGAAAAGCATGGGGACAAAAATAAGACTTCAAATAATCGGCACAGGATGACTACTGGGATAACTAATGCTTGCATAATTATTATATATATGGCTGATATTTTGCTGTCTTTTTGAACACGCATTGTCCTTCTTAACAAGTCCCACCATGGTCCTCCCCTGCTTGATTGATGATGACCCTATTCATTCCTTTTGGGATTATATCTTATGGGAGAAGAAACCCACAATGTTCTTATTAAGAAGAAGAATAATCACAATAAATCAATATGCATTATTGTAGATAAGGAAATGTGAGACCCTTTTTCTTCTTCTTTTGTCTAAATCTCTGCACGAACTTGGTTTCATTCCACTCAAATTGATATCAAATCACGAGGCAAACGAAACTATCTTCTCCTAAAGCCTAGATGCTCGTTCCTTGTCGCTAGTTAATATTTTCTTTCACAAATTATTGTTTACAACTTTATATTTTGGAAGAATTTAAAGCACTGTCTGCCATATGATTTATATGATCATCATGATGATATATTGGTAATGGATCAACATGTAATCAAATGCAATAATTTTGACATATGCTGTATTTTAATTGAGATAATGTTAATATGGCAAACATTGTGATTGAAGGAGAGAAATCTGCAAGTTTATGAGTGAAGCAATTAGGTGAAACATACAGTCCTTTACTTTCATCCATCACCAAAGATTTATCCATGAAAAACACAATCAAGTTCAAGGGCACGACGTCAAGCAGATTGAACTGGTAATTTCATTATAATAATAATAATAACGTGGGAGAGCAGAGAAGTAGAATATATGCCGGGTTTGTGGGTGATCATGCGCACTGACAAGCCACAGCCAACCGATTAATATTTGAATGGAGCATTCAACGGAAACTTTGCTGATTGAATGATGTAAATTCTTTGTCGTGGGGATAATGCACTTTTTTTTAGTACATAATTAAATTTGCTTTAAATTCCTTTGAAGATGATTTATGTTATATTAAAACATTGCAACTGTACACTATGTAATGATTATTTTCTTAACCAAAATCACTTTTGTTGATGCCATAGCCAGAATGGCTGTAATCTTTGGACAAGGTTTTCCAAATTATAGGCCTAAACTTTTTAGGTCTATTATTAGTGTGTGGAAAATGTCTATATGAGCGAATTACAAGTCAATTTAGTGATCACGTTAGAAATATATATTATCCATATCATCATAAAGAAAAGTATTTTTGTTTTTGATATTAGAAGGTAATTAAATTACCCAATTACCCGCATTCAAGCAATTGATTTGTTGATCAGTGCATGATTTTCTTTTTAAAAAATAAAATGTAGATTTTTTTTCTCTTAATTAAAAAAAATTTTAATTACTTAAAAGAGCCCTGAAAATTAGTTCAATGTATTCCATTCCATATAGCTTGCTGCTTCTACTTTAGCAAGAATAATTTACCACCGATATTGACATCTACCAATGCATAATAGTCGCTAGCAAAGTTTTTACAAAGCATTTTCTTTTGTTATATATATTTCACGTCCTTTTTCTCTTATTGGGTGAATGCTGGCGGCGGAAGTGGTCCTTGCCTCGATTAGCTTTTATTTCTTTGGGTTCCAAGCCCCAAGATATAGGGCCGTGAAATCTGTGACCCTGGACTTAAAACATTTTCGTTGCTTGAAAGCCTATCCCTTTGGGCCATATATAGGCCGTCAGCCTCTTCATATGTTTATTCGACTTTAAGGCTAACAGCTTATTTATATAATTTAACATTTCTTCAAATATTTTATTTATGATTTAATTTATTATTTTATTAAAATTAAACTGTAGTGTTTTAAATTTTATTTATTTAAAAAATTAATTAATTACAAAAGTTAACAAATATAATTAATACGATTAATGATTGTTAGGTGAAGTTATTTTTAATAAATATAGATCTAAATATCTTAATTTTAAAAATAATAATTTATTAACTTTTATCATTAAAAAAATGGCATTCTAATTTAAGTAAAATAATTCTTGAATTTTGAAATGAAAATTTTGATAAATTTTAAATGTTACACATTTAGCCTAATTTTAACAAATGTCAGTTGACTCTCAGTAGTTGCCTAATTTTAAGTCTAGGCTGTGGCATAACACAACTGCTGGGCCCGGCGGCGAGAAAGTAACGGAAGAAAAGACCATTAGGCCACGTATCGATACTAGATAGCGGGTTCAGGGATTCTTCTTCTTTCTTTTGGTCAGAGTCGAATACGGGCAAAATCAATTTGAAAAGAGACTGGTGATGGCTATGGCTGAGAGAGTCATCTTTGTTGTCAATGACTCCATACCGAGTAACTCTATGGTTATATCATATGTTCAATCTTGTTCTCAATTGTTGCATCCAGAAAAGATTTGTTGAAGTTGAAGCTTTTTTTGCTTATTAAAAAGAAACATTATATTATGCAAAAGGTCCAGCATCTAACAAGTGAAATAACACAAAGGGAAACCTTCTATACATGAACTAGGGACCAACCCATTATTGAACATTAGAGAACATCAGTTTTTACTGAATAAGGTGGATTCCTGCATCCTCGAGAGCGCCTTCTCTAGTTGGCTCCACCGCTGCTCCAGTGTCCCAATGTATCCAATCGACATCCTCACCAGCCCTGGCGAAATGCCGGCAAGGGTCTTCTCTTCAGCATTCAGTTCACTACTTGTACTGCTTCCGGAGCAAGACATTAGAGTCTCATAGTAACCCAAGCTCACCGCCATGAAACCAAATTGAGTATAGTTCTGCAAGTGGTGCATCAGCCTGTTGGCTCTTTCTTCTGATTCCATGTCAAGGCAGAGAAGCCCGCCAAACCCATATTCCTTATTGGCCATGGACTTCAATAGCTCGTGTTGGGGGTGGTCCTCGAGGCCCGGGTATATGACCTTGAGCCCCAATTTCTTCATTCTTGTGGCATAAGCCGAAGCTCTTCTGCAGTGCTCTTTCATTCTCAGGCCCAAATGAGGAATCCTCTCAGAGAGTTCAAAGGCAACCTTGGCGTTCATAGTCGGACCCAGAAGCATCAGAGCACCTTGATGAAGGTCCATCATGGAGTTCACCAGGCTTGCAGGACCACAAACAGCACCTGAGAATTGCATTTTGTTTGGATTAATAGTGGACACTTCCAGGATAAGCAGACAATGATAGTATATTCCAATATCAATGAACTGATATGAATGCTAAGGTTACGTGTTCAGAAACGAAATTAAAAAAAGCTTTCATATTTAACAAGAATGAATGGTTTTGGCTAGCTAGTTTTGCCTAGAAGCTAACTAGGTAAACATGAGGATAAAATAATTATTGAAACATTTTGTAGAGGAGTTACTTAATTTTACTTTTCAACTAGAAATGTCAATTTAAAGCCTTGAAGCTTTAAGTTGGTATACAGAATTTATCAGAAAAAGTTACAAAAGACAAAACACATCACATGAAAGCTTATCCATAAGAGGAAAATAAAAGGAGGAACTGAACGCACACCTCACATCATCATATGCATGACGATGATCCTATCGGTGAAACATTGAAAATTAGTAAAAATGCAGGAGAATATCCTTATCAGCCATAAAAGCTAGCTGGAAAACGAAACTTAACCATTAATTGGCTGCTTTGCAAGTGATCATCAGTTGAAGCATCATGCACGAGATAAGTTGCCCCCACTAGCCCTAAACATGTTTTTCTATTTAATTATCTATTCAATTCTTTTTGGAGTTTTTATTTCCATACCAGAAATCTTATTTGTTTCCCATCTTATGAATCCTTATTTCATTGGTCAAAACATATTTATCTGTTTCATTACCGTTCTAGATTCCACCATCAACTGAATTAATCACAGGATCACACGTCATTGATGTCACTGTTTCGAACGTGAAACAGAGGGATGAATGCCTGACACGTGTACGGTAAAGTAGAAACATACGAGACAACACACACCTGCAATAACATCGGCCCCACCGCTAATGAACTTGGAGATACTATGGACAACCACATCAGCACCAAGCCGAGCAGGGGAAAGAACCATGGGAGCGAAGGTGTTGTCTACCACCACCGTGGTCCCCTTTTCGTGTGCTATCCTGCTTAGCTCCGGAATGTTGGCTACGGTGAGCGTTGGGTTAGACATGGACTCGAAATACAGAACTTTGGTCTTTCCTTCGATGATAGCATTTCTCACTGCTTCGTGATCACATACGTCCACGAACGTGGCTGTGATGCCACATGCTCTAGGCAAGAAATGGGTTAGAAGTGCATGTGTTCCCCCGTAGAGAGCCCTCGATGCCACCACGTGTCCGCCGCTGCTGCAGAGTTGCAACAGCACGGAAGATATAGCAGACATACCTGTCACAAAATCAATATTTAAAAAAAAAAAAGCGTCACGAAATCAAATTAACCACAAAATTAACGATGTTGATGAGAATGTTAATTAGATTTTTACGTGTAATAACGGGTGTAACAGAAAAATTACCGCTAGCAGTGCAATAGGCAGCTTCGGTTCCTTCCAAGGCTGCCATCTGACGGCCAAGATTTAAGACAGTGGGGTTGAAGTGACGGCTATAAATGAAGAAATCACGATCAGGGCCGAGTTCGCCGGCAAACATGCGGCGCATGGTCTCAGGTTCCATGACGGTGAAGGTGGCAGAGGCCTCGATGGACATGTTAACGCCACCATGCTCACCGAATTCATGGCGCGCGCTGGCTAATGCAGCGGCAGGGTCGTTTTCCCATGCTGGTGCCAGTGTTGGCAACATTGATTTCTTGGACATGAAAAGATCATCCCCGTCGAAGTCATCAGCCCCTGCAGCTCTCTTCTTTCCAGAAAAAACAAAGCCACGGCTCTGGGTTTCTGCCATAATTAATTCTCGTGGAACAGAAATGAAGAATGAACCCAACCCCCCTTTGAGTCTTTTTGTTTTTTTTTTTGGTTTTGTTGGTGGGCTTGTTTGGACGTAATCGGAGATAGCAGAATCGAAGGACCAAACAGGATTGGTGACAGGGAATTGAAGAGCGGTTTGCTGAAGAGAAGAGCGGATCGGAAGCTATATATAAGCAGCGAAACGAGAGAAAACGGTGGGGGTTAGAGATTGTGCAAAAGAAAGAATTAATGGAAAATCAAGATTATCTGGCGTGGCGTTACCTAAATTTTTTTGTCTTAAAATGAAATACAATGAATCTAGTCGGCTTTTTTTATTAGGAAATGATTAGGATTCCGATTTGTAATGTAATTACCGTTTTCTGGGATGAGTTGCTCTCTGCCTAGAGAATTAACAACAAAGTTGGAAGAATTTTCTAAAACAGTGACTGATTTCCTAAAGTAACCTTGCAGGAGTGAACCGACCCAAGCTAATGTACCCAAAAATAGGGGTTAAAATGTTACTACATGGATGAAAGGTCCGCATAATTTTATTTCTAAACTTTTACCAGATTTATAGGAATCAAGTTGAAATTTTATTCTAATTATACTTGAAAAACATTAGACTATCAGCTTTTAAGTATTAAATAAATAATCTTATCCGTCTATATATGCTTCAGCTTCATATGGCAAGTCAATAACTGTTAAATCCATGAAACTGGGCAATGAGCAATAATTTTTGGAAGGGCCAACATGTACTTGCGTGCCTACAAAAATGTTTGACGACTTCCTTCCAGACCTCTTTTCTCATTCATTCATTATTTTTTCTATAGGTTCTTTTTTTAAATAAAATATATTTATTTTTTAAATTTTAATCAAAATTATATCGAGATTCATTAATTTTTGAAATAAATACTCCACTCCAAAAATACAAACACTGTTAGCAGAAATTGTGAAAAAATTAAAATATTTTTTTTATAAATTTAAAAACTTATTATTATATTTTTAAAAAAAAATTAAAAAAAAAAAGAATAGTGATAGGTGCTCCCCAACTCCCCAAGAAAGGTGAGCAGAGCATTGGTGCTCCCTAGACAGGGAGTCTTTTTTTTTAATTAATAAAAAATAATAAAAATAATAAAATTGTATAATTAATCATAATTATAAAAATTAATTAAAGGTAAACTTATCTTTTTACTCTTGCCACATTAGCAAGTTGACGAAAATGCTAACAGTTAGACTTACGTATCCAACAAAAATATTTTTTAGGATGGAATGTCTATTTCAAAATTAATGAATCTTCACGTAATTTCGATCAAAACGTAAAGACGTAAGAATATTTTACATTGTGTTTTTTGGAATTGGGAAAGCGGATTTAAATCTTGCTCTTTAAAGAAGCGACTATATACCAATTAATAAGCTAAATACTCAAATTCCTACAGGTATTTAAAGCAAAAAACCTTCTTTATTCTTTTCAAATCTATCTAGACATGCACACATAATTTTGGCTATATTTAGTGCATGAGTGAAATAGATAAGGAAAGGAGAAACGTCTAATTCATTAATATATACTATATATATGTATTTCTATTATAAATATATGTATGAATATCCATTATGTCACCATCCAAGAGTTTAAACCAACTAAGCAGTCGAGACAGGCCAAACAGCTTAACAGGTTAGGCACAAGAATGCAATTTAATATGAACTCTTATATTTGATTATGTATATCTAGATTTAAATGTAGATTAGGTTGGATTAACATTAGGATTTAATTCATCCAAATCAAATCCCTTAAGCATTACATTTATCTTATAAAGTCAATCAAAATAAGAGATTATTAACCTATAAATAGTTTAATAAGATCCTTTTTCTCTTTCTAAATATTTTCTCATAGTTACCCTTTCAAGTTATCAATATGATTCTCCAATCTTTCAAGTTTTGGTATTATTTAGTTTTCATAAGAATTTTAATGGTTAGTCTTTGAATTTTTGTTTTAGTAAATCAAGTAAGTGACTTAATATCTCTTTGGTGTTTTTATTCCCTGAAAATCAACTTTAATGTGAATTTTGCTATCATGTAGTAAATATCATATTTTGTCTCTTGATTTATTAAATCAGGTTGAGCATGAAAATATATATAGTTATTTATGATATCTTTGTTTTAGTTTTGGAATATGATTTTCCTAATATATGATTATTTTTGTTGAATTTTGACTATAATTTTGTTCAACATATGTAAATCTATCTTTGATTCTATAAGATTTTGCATAAGACATTTTGAATTAAACATATAAAAATGACTTTGTATGACATCTATTTTTATAACAAGTGAAAAATATTATACGTTGGATAATCTGAAATATGTTTTGTATTGGATTTCATGTTTTTTTGTAGTTTAGCAAAATAACAAGCTATTAATGAAAAATCATAAACTTTGTCTATTCCCTGAAGTGAATGCTACATAACTTAATAATTATGGTCATGGACGTGGAAGAAGTTGTCATAATAATTGCAATCATGGTAGTTACACTAATCATTATTCTAAGAATATATTTAACCATTGAAAGTGAATGACCACCTTGACTTACCGAAAGTGAATAAATTTTTTTACCTATCGAAACTGGATGGATATATTTACTCATCGAAAGACCCACTAAAAGTTGATAAATAACTTTACCCACAGAAAGTTGATAGATACTTTTATCCTTTGAAAGTGTAAAGGTGTGCAGACTGTTAGAACAATTAGTTCTGTTCTAGGTTTTCCAAAATCAAAAAAACTAAATTTAAAAAAAATCAAAATCGAACTAAAAAATATTGATAATCGAAAATTGAACTACTTTAGTTAGTTCGGTTCAGTTACCAAAAACCAAACTTATGAAAAGTATACTAGAATTAGATATATGTTAGATATCAAACAATGTTTGATTTACTTGCTTGAGCTTAAATCCACATGATTTAAGGGTAAGCAGTTGGGTAGTCTGGTCGGTTTAGTTTACCATACGTAAGAATCAAATGGACCAAATAGTTTTAAAAAATAAACCAAAATCAACTAAATATAAAAGAGGATCGAACCGATTAAACATTGAGTTAGTTCAATCAATTCGATTTTGGACCAAAAGGACTAAAATTGTATCACTTTCTTTTTCAAATTATAATATTAAAATTTATAAACTTCATTCATAATTATAAAATATATAAATAATCTAAACATGAAAAAAAAACAAAACATTTGCCCTATCTTAACTAGTAGTAACTTAATAATGAAAATATATATTTTATATAAATTTAAAAATTTTAAAATATTATATATATTAATATATATAATATTAGTTAGACCTTTTGGTTGGTTCAGTCCAAAAGTTTTAAAATCGAGAATCGACCAAATAAACCAATTGGATTAAATTTTTTAATAGACACAATGAACTAAATGGATCAAAACTTTTTATCCAAATTACATTTAGTTCGGTTAGATCATTGGTCCAATCCAATTTTGAAAAAAGACTTGTGTAACCAATAAAATTACCTTTTTTTATGTAAGTATTTTCCACATCGGTTAGTTTGGTTGGAAATTTTTCCAATCGAAAATCCAACTGATTAAACTATTGCAATCGACCATATTTAACCGAAACAACCAAACATCGAACAGCAAAACTGAAATCACTTTGGTTTGATTTGGTCTTTTGATTCAGTTTGAATTTACACACCTTTATGGAACTGGATGGATACTTTAATCTACTAGAAATGGATGACTAGTAAAAAGATATAAAAAAATGATAAAAGTTAACACAATAAATAGAATATTGAAAATGTTTGTCATCGATGTAGTATGAAAAACTATTGGCCATGTACTTATCGTACATTGAAATATTTTGTTGAATTTTATCAAATATTGTTGATAGCTAAAGGAAAAAAAATAAAAATAAATTTTGTTCAATATAATTTTAACCATTACTAAGTTTATATAACACATCCAGATGTTGTTTTTCATATCTACCTTAAAAGAGGAATTGATCATGTGATTGGTGTTTAAAATATACAATAGTGAAATTTCTTAAGTAATTTGTTAGTATGTTTTAGTATAATTTTATCTTGAAGATGCTTTTATATGTTTTTATTATATTTAAATAATATATTTTTATTATGTGTTTTAATAGTAAACTATATGTCTAAGGTTATCTTATGTTAACTTGTAAGTTTCTTATTATATGTGTATCTTATTTTTTTTGAAAAAAAAGTATGAATATTCATTTGGATTGTACTACTCAAATATTAAAATGATTAAAATTAATGTTATAGTAAACCAAAAGTTTACTAATGATTTTAATACTTAGTATAACTGGTTGGGTCATCCCAAATTAATAATGATGTTAAAAATTATTAAAAATTCATATGGTCTTTCATTGAAAAATCAGAAGATTATTTAATTAGATGAATTTTTATTTCTTGCTTGCTCTCAAGATAAAATAATTATAAAACCATCACTAATTAAACTTGAAACTAAATTCTTTATATTTTTTAAATATATTTAGGGTGATACATGTGAACCATACATCCATAGTGTGCATCATTTAGATGTTTTATGATTTTAATCAATGCATCAAGTAGATGGTCATATATATGCTTGTTATTAATTTGTTATTTGACATTTGCAAGATTATTTGCTTAAATCATTTGTTTGCAAGCATATTTTCTTGATTATTCAATTAAGATTATTTACTTTGACGATGCTGGTAAATTTGCATATCAAGCCTTTAATGAATATTACATATTAGTTGAAATAACTGTTAAATAGCCTGTTACTTATATTTATACATAAAATAATTTAGCAGAATCATTTATTAAACATTTTCAACTAATTGCAATGCCATTGCTTATGGCAACTAAACTCTTCATTTTTGCTTGGGAGCATGCCATTTTGCATGTAGCAGCACTTGTATGCATTATACCAATGAGTTATCATAAATTCTCTTATATACAATTGATTTATGGTCAAGAATCGAATATTTTTTATCTAAGAATTTTTAGATGTGCAGTATATGTCGTAGTTGCTCTATCACAATGCACAAAGATGAATTCTCAAATGAGGTTAGGAATATGTATTGGATACAAATATCCATCTATAACTAAATATCTATAACCACTAATAGGAGATTTATTTACAACAAGATTTGCAGATTATCATTTTGATAAAATAAATTTTCCAACATTAGGGAGAA